TATAGGTAAAGGTCTTGGACTAGTTATAAGAACAGGATTGTGTGTATGTCCTTGAGATGTCTGGGACGTTGTTCGGTTTCGTCTTTGATGAGATGCTGTTCTTTGATGAGGAATATTCTGTCTATGAGCACGAATTGTTTGATTCAAAAATTGCAATGTTCTTGCTTGTTGCTGTTGTAATCTTAATCGCATTTGTGCAGCATGTCGTCGAATCAACCATTGTGCTTGTGCAAGTGCACCTCGTGGAAAAATTAATGTTAATTCTTCGAGATCTGGTGAATTGCATAATATTTCTAAACAATCAGAAAGTGATGGAAGCCCAATAGAAATATATGCATTACGAGCACTTAACGAAAATTTTTGAAAGGTTTTAGATTTATTATTAAGTACTGAAATTATCCTAGGAATGTCCCGACATATATGAATATCGATTTCTTTAAGGTTTTTTTGTGTACTGATGAGGTTAATCATTCCATGTGAATCTTCACCATCGTAAATACTTAAACTTTGAAGTTCTAACGTGATTTCTGCTAATGAAGAAAGAAATCTAGATGGCGTAGTGCCTATATAACATTACGTGAGTCAGTTTTGATTCTATTAACGATCACTGTTGTATTAGTAATTAAATCAATTATTAAGTTAACTTGTTAATTCATAATACCTTTACAACTAAATTTCTGAAGTCTTGAAAGACTCGTTATAATACTAGGTAAGTTAACCAAATTGATCTCTAAAGGAAAATCAATAATTCTCTTATCTAAATGAGAAATAATAATTCCAGATAATTTTTGATAGCTAAAATCAAGAGATTTTAGATGTGAATCTTGATTAAGGAACATCTTGAGTAGTTCTTCGGAAACCAATTTGATTTTATCATTTTCATGCCCATCGTATTGTCTATCCAAAATTTTTTCAATCGAATCTTGTAATAATATATAGTTTAAATTTTGTAAGAATTGAGGATAATTAAACATTAAACTGATGTTTGAAAAATCTACTGGTCTTGCTATGTAAGCATCGATCAACTTTTGTCTTGATTCGTTAGGAAGTAAAGAAATATATGTCGAAAGAATAGATGCAATCTTGTCATAGTATATTTGATTTCGATTATTATAGGCAAATTCTAAAGGATTGGCCCAAAGGATAGAAATAGCGCTTTGACACCAATCTCGACTGACTAGTACTGATGAGTATAAAGAAGGTTCATCAAGCTCTTCAAATATCGCTTGTAATATTTCTGGTGGAAGCAACATTTTGTTAAGAATTAATTAAGATTTTATTTGAGCACAAATCGTATGGTAAATATTTAATGCGTGATCGCCTTGATTGGGGGTAAACGGTCACACGTTTGTCAGTCATCGTTACCTAAACCTGATTTTTGCGTTAACTGATCTACATTTTGTTGAACTAGATTACATAATATGATATGTATATACGTATATAGTCATATACTATATATTGTATGTAATTTATTGTTTATAGATTTTGGTAAGTTCATCCGCCAAGAGTACCTTAGCCATGGCAAAAATAACCACCCTAACGTCAGCCTAAAAAATTTGTTATCCAATCAAATCAAATTTAAAATCAGATGTAATAGTGAAATTTTTTGTTTGGTGACGCTAAGGTCTTAGCTAGAGATTTTTCTTACTTTCATAAAAATTATTTGAATTTCATTTAGTAATAATCATTCAACGATTAGTTGCTTCTAATGTTTTAAATCGCCAATTTGTCCAACTTTTCGATTAATGTAATACAGCAGGGTGTAGTCCAAAATTTCCGAGGTTATATTTAAATATTAGTATTTGTTTGGGTTAGGATTAGGTTCAGCATTATATGTAAAATTGCATTCTAGACAAATAAATAGGTTTAGGCTCGTTCTTTATATATTTATATTCATTTTTCGCTTTTTTTTTGGAATGATTTTTGCGATCTACATAATTTTGCATAATGCTGGCCATATCCGGAAGATAAACGTGATCTCGGAACCCGAAATCGGGTAATATTGCTTTACAGCTGTTCTCGGCCGAATTCTATAAGTTTTTGAATTCGGTATTATCGACATTGGATTTTCGGCATTACAGTAATTCCGATAACACAGAATTCAATCATCTGTCAATCTTTATCGTTGTCCCAGAATTTATGAGAACAGCTGTAAAAATTCTTGAGTGGGTATCTGGCCTGGTGTTTCACTTTGAAATGCAATATAAGGATCAAAATAATAAATGAATGTTTATCTATGTAAATATATGTAAATATGCCATAACCTGTTTCAAAAAATGACGCTATTTTTAGAGACCCAGCACATGTTGTAATGATGAATGAAAAAAGGAATTTTTTTAACATTAGAATTTTTGGGTAGAATTTATTATATGCCTAACCATAAAATCTTAAGAATACAGAACCCGTTTTTACCTAGTTTTAAAATTTTTGCATATATGAATCTTGCCAGAATCGTAAATTATATACATATCAAATATAAATATAGTAGCTAATAAAAATATTATTTCGGTATATATATTCATATACCGTTTAATAAATAATCGGAAATTAGATATATTAATATACTATATTTCTAAAATTAAAATTCTTTGTAGTTTCGTATTCAAGAACTAATATAGAACATAAGGATTTTATAAACATATACGTATAATGTAAATGCAACAAAATGTTGGTCAGGGTAAATCTAAGTATATATAATTGGGCTTTGAAGAACCTAGAGTCTTAAGAATTTAGCCGATGACCGGCACCCATCCTTGCATTATGATAAATTTTAGACTACCCTTGTCAGTAATTCTCTCATTGAATAGTGATTATTTTTGCAAAAGTAAATTAATCAAAATTAGGGAAAATATCGATGTGAAATTAACGTGAAATTAACATATGGGGATGCCCATAGTAAAAGCAGGGGATGGGACTATATATTATATAGCTTCATCCTTGTTTTTGCTGTGGGCGTCCCCATATGTCAATTTAAAATTTATACCGACTGGAATAGAACATACGTCAAATTTAACTGCACTGATAAAACTTATTGATTGCGTAGAAAAAAATATTATTTTAATTTCTTTCATAATGGCTTCAAATAATTCACTAGTTTTCCTTTCTTTTCACCTTCAACCTTTGATACAATAGTTAATAATTATATGAGTAATCGAAAAATGAAAATATAATCGTTGTTGATATAACGAGTAAATATAAACTCAAAGTTCAAATATTGGATTTTTTATATTTAAAGTTGGAACTCATCAAGTTATAAAACATAGTGGTCAGGAAAGAACATTGCTAAAGTAATACTTTTTATTCAAATTAAAATAATAATAATATATAAACCTATAGATTCGAAAAAATATTTCTTTATACTCCAAACAATCTTAGAAAATGTAAACCAATGAAATATATGTATTACACGACGTGTAAACAAACGACTATTTAGAAAATGCTACAGCATAGCAAAATTTGACAAGAAAACAAACAAAAACAACAAATAAGAGCTATTCATGTTGTAAAAGTAATAATCCCTGCACAGACGCTAGAATAAATATTGAAATAAAACGTACTGTACATATTGCATAAATTCCAAAGCAAGTAATGTCAGCTGTATTTTTTTTTATGGACGATGCTAGGTTTGTTTAAACAATGAATAATTATGATATCCAATTTGCCACACTCTTTATTTGTATTTCTTATTTGTATTTTCTATTATATAAATAAAAGGAATGATAATAAATGAGAGTTAAACCTTTTATGTAAAATAATGCAGATGATTTTATTTCGTTAATTTGCAAGCATGAGTTCCGCCTAATATTATCTATCCAATTAAGTCATGATTATAGATTTCATTTATTATTATAATCGCAGCAAACTTACGCAAAACTTTATATATTTTATATCGATATGGAAAGTGTGATAGGCTTCAACAAACTATATGGGTGATTATTTTTGAATCAAGGCCAAAATGTTATTACGTCATATATATAATTGGTCCGAGTTCAAAAATAACTACCCATATGGTACAATAAATTTTTTTAAAACCATTACTTTTTTAAGATATGTACAATTTAAGAATGTAATTTTAGCATCAATTTGACCCTTTATAATTTATTTTGAAGTTATGATGGTTTTCGTTTCTTGAGAAAACAAATTAATAAATAATCCTTCCTAAAAAAAGGTAAAATAAAACGAAATGCTTAACAGAAAACAAAAGAAAGAAAAAGTAAATTTAAACCCCAGAAGTTTAAAAAAAGATCATCTCAATCTGGTAATGCTAGAACTTTTAAAACTCTAACTATAAATGACACATGAAAAATAACGCGTAAAAGTAATGATACAAATATTCAACTTGAAATCTTGATACAAATATATTTTACGCATAAGTTAATCTACGAATGACACGAGTAACAAATACACGTTTACAAAAATTGGTAATCACGAACAAAGAGTCACCAAAAAAATCAGTTACAACTAGTAATAAAACGGCGGCGTTTCATAGAACTGGAGCCTTACTTATGAGGTACTTAAACTTGAAAATAAAATTAACTTATATTTACTGCGGGAAATGAGTTAATGTCGTCGTCGATCGTGGGCACAGAAATTTTTTTGTGTAATACCGTATAGCCAATACAGCAATATCTTGCCTTACATATTTGTACCGTTCCGGATCAGCCCGGAACACGTGCGAAAGACGAAAAAAAGCGAAAATACTCAAGAACTAGTGTTTAAATCGACCTTGGTGTACTAATTAAAGATGTCGGGTACGAGATTTTACATATAATGGGCAACAGTCTATGGATATAGCCTCTGTCCTAACCTTTACAAAATTAAATTTCCTTTTTGGGGAGGCAAGGCGTTTCTCATATTTCACTTTTTTTCTTCGGGCTGATCCGGGTAAATCAAATTTATGCCTTGATTGGTTGTAAGTCACGTGAATGCACCTGACCTCCTTTTTTGGGTTGTATTACCGCAGGGACACGGAAATATTCTTTCGATTTAAACCAAAAATTTCGATCGATTTAAGCAAAAATTTCGATTTATTTCGA